GTTGGTCACTCACTCCACGGCTGTTTGTGGGAACGCTGCTGTGCGCATCTGCCTGCCATGTTTTGCCCACAAAATACACAGTCACTCCACTGTGAAGGGCTGTGAGACATCTCAACAGTGTGATAAGGCGTTGTATCAAATAGAAAGATTATTATTATATCAGTACAATACCTGTCTACAGATAACTCATGGAATGTGATATTCTTTTCATACATGCAAGTTCCAAGCAGTGAGGGAAGGTTTTTTGTCAGAGAGGCTGATGGCTGGAATGTTATTGTTTTATCGCTGACAGCGGGTGAAAGGTCCACGTTTCACACGAATGCTCAGTTCTCTGCTGAAGAGGTTACTCCCTCAGGTCAAATCCGATGGCCATGCTTTCCCCCTCCAGCCTCACTAGGCTCCAACTCAGGCACTGCGTGAAGCATGGTTCCAGATGCTTGTTAACATTCGAAGCTTCTGTGTCTTTTCTGATCGCTACCGTTGATTTATTTTCTTAAAATAAAACTAAATGTCATTACCCTCGTGTACGGGCTGTGGAGCTATTTGGCGTTGCGGGATATTTACACAGACTCTTTCCTCCTCTAAATCGTCCCATCCACACATCCCCACCCAACCCCTGCATTGTCCCCGACCCTCAGCTTGTCATCAGTCGGTCGTTCACTTCACAGCTGTTTGCGGGATGTTTACTTGTGCAAATTGACAGCCGTGTTTGAGCTAGAAAATGCACAAGGCTAGAGTTTGCAGTGAAGCTCTTTCGAGTGTGAAAAGTGTTGTATCAAATGTAAGGATGCAGGATTTGGAGGTGAGAGAGCTACCGACCGAGCCAGGCTTCCAATATCTCAACTTGTCACGCTCCCAACTGAGCCATTCACAGAACCTTGATCTGTCCTGAGAGATCTTATTTCTTAAATTGCCCTCAGGGCCCCTGAGCTAGGGCGTGCAGACTGCCTTTGGGGTGCAAATGAGGGAGGATGAATCGCCCTCTAGCAGCTAGTGATAGACTTGCTTGGTCGTGGGGCTCGGTGTTATCCTGGCAATAACAACTAGTTACATTTATTTTGCGTACATCAGAGCGCTTAACAGTGGTGTAGTTTGACACTGAGCCACCGAGTGAGGGGAGATGGGGGGAGGCAACTATAGGCGCTGTTGAAGAGAAAAATCTTCAGGTGTGATCTGAAGACAGGTGAAGACGCATTGAGTCAAGGAATTCCAGAGCTTCAGGTTGTAGTGGCTGAAGGTGGAGCGGAGGAGGATGAGCGACGTGCAGGAAGCCGGAGCCAGCTGAGCGAATGTGACGGTTTGAGGAGTGGGGGTGTGAGCAGGTTGGAGAGATCGGGAGATCTCGGATGTGAAGTGATTTGTCGGCACAGGGACATGTGAGTGACAGACGGGGAAGAGATGGAGTGATTTGGATTTATGCCAAACGAGTTTGTTATGAAGTTTGGAATCTCACGTTAAATATTTACACTGCTCAAAAGTTCAACACGTAGAACAAAACGAGGTTAATGATGGATGGAGCTGGACTTGGACTGGGAGTAATGGTGGGTTAAGCAGCCCTGCTTTTGTCTGTGGAATAGGAGGGGCGGGAGCTGGTGTATAAACACAGGCACGGGCTGGTTGGATCAAATGCCTCGAATCTATGCGACTCCCTGCCTCAGCCCTTTTGTCTTGTCCCCTTTTTGCCCATCCTCAAATTATACCTGAAGACGGTCTCATTGGTCATCTCCCCTCTCTTCCCAGCTTGGGGTCATACCACAACGCTGTGAATCACTTCGAGACAGGGTGCTATATAAATGCAAGTTGTTGTTGTTCCCACACCATTTGTCTCTAATGTGACTCTGTTATTCTCTGTCACACAATAAGAGGACGCATTACTCATTCCTCCTGTGTCTCTTACACACAATAACATTTCCACAAACAGCCATGAAGTAAATGATCAATTTATTTTATCTGAGGGCATTGTTGGCCAGGACATTGAGAGAAGAGAAACCGCCTTCTTGTTTTCGAATAGAGCCACAAACAGCCAAGGAGACAACTGACTAATTTACCCGAGCTTCAGAGGTCCTGTCTCCCTGTTCAGGTGCATGTTAAAGATCCCTCAGCGCTATTCAAAAAGAGAAGCGAGTTTCTCTCTCCCAGTGTCCTGGCCAACAATCCCCCAAATAAAATTGGTCACTCACTCCATAGCTCTTGTCAAGACATCTCAAAGCACTTCACAGGATTTACTATAAAATGGAGTGACTGTATTTTGTGGGCAATGAAAAAACAGAAGCGATGGGGTTTGACTGAGTTTGGTCTCTGGAGATGGAAGGGGGGGGGGGTTAGGGATTAAGAGATTGCAGTCCGGAACTTTTCAAAGGCGTCTTGATCCAGATATTGGATTTGCGGCAGGGAATGGTAATGGTGAGTGTGCAAAATATACTTTAAATGAATCTGTCAAATGCTCTTTGATGCTTTCTTTGGGAAAGCTCAATGCTCCCCCAGGCTCCTGAACCATCACCCAAGGCTAGCCAATCGCAATGATTCCAGTCTCCTCCCAGACTGGTACATCACTGTGACTAAACACATTGGTTCTGGCTCTTTCCCGACTTAAATGCTCACCCGCGCTCCCCCACACCGTCTCCCCATTGCCCCTTCTGATTCCACAAGTTTGCACTGTTGCCTCGTCCCTTGAACCGATACATCAGTCGCACACTCGCTTTCACTCTCCATGTCTCAGGTTCCAGTCAAGAGCAGTATTGGCTCCATTCGCATTAATTCTAAACATCCAGCTATGGTGCTGAGCATTGGGTTTAACCCCAGAGGGCAGACGCAGGCTATGGCTCGCTCCATATCTCTGACATCTCCCCCACCTCAACAACAACAACAACAAGATTCCATTTATAGAGCGCCTTTCACGGCGGGAGGACGTCCCAAGGCGCTGGACAGTTGGGTCAGGACCCGAGCAGGGGGGAAATGGTCAGGGTGAGGGGAGGGAGCGAGGAGGGGGTAGAGAGTCGAGAGGGGAGCTGAAGGCATGGTCAAAGAGAAAGGTCTTGAATTCGATCCTCTGGGGGATGGGGAGCCAGTGGAGGGGAGCGAGGGCGAGGGCGAGGGTGGGAGTGATGTGGTCGCGGTGTCTGGTGCGGGACAGTACACGAGCTGCAGAGTTCTGAATGACCTGCAGTGTGGAGGGAGGTGGCGGGAAGGCCGGCGAGGAGAGCGTTCCCATAGTCCAGCCTTGAGGTGATAAAGGCGTGGACCAGAGTTTCAGCCGCGTGAGGGGTGAGGTAGTGCCGTAGTCTGGCGATGTTCCGGAGGTGATGGAAGGCGGTGCCAGTTGTGGCGCGGATATGAGGGAGAAAGGACAGCTCAGGGTCGAGGGGAACCCCGAGGTTCCTGATGGCTTTGAGAGGTGGAGAGTGCGGCCTTGGATGCTGATGCTGTCAGCGCCTGAGGTGCGGAGGCGCACAATCAGGAGGGCCTCAGTTTTACGCACGTTGAGCTGAAGAAAGTTGTCTCTCGTCCAGGACTCAATGTCGGACAGACAGCTGTCAGGACATCGGGGGTCGTGGAGTTGAGGGTAGAGGAGGAAAGGTAGAGTTGGGTGTTATCCGCATACATGTGGAAGTTAACTCCATGTCTGTGGATGATGTCACCGAGGGGGAGCATATAGAGGGTGAAGAGGAGGGGACCGAGGACAGAGCCCTGAGGGACACCGCACTTCGCCCTCCCTCAAAGGCAAGGATTATTATTTTTATTGTTGTCTCATCCTTCCTTGAGATGAAACGTTAAACTGAGGTCCCATCTGCCTGTTTATGTGGATGTAAAAGAACCCATGGCACTGTTTGAAAGGAAGAGGGAGTTTCTCTCTCCCAGTGTCCTGGCCAACAATTCCCCAAATTAAAACTCCAAGGCTGTTTTTGGGACACTACTGCAAATTCGACTGCTGCACTTCACCACAAAATATAGTCAATTCACTTTACGGTTTATTCTGTGAAGCTCTTTGAGACGTCTCAGTGATGTGATAATAATAATCCATGCATTTGATATAATAATAATCCTTGCATCTGATATAGCACTTTTAATATCTTCTAGGCATCTCAAAGTGCTTCACAGAATATACTGTGTGGGCGAACGTAGCAGCCAATTGTGCACAACATTGTCCCCCAAACAGTTGTAACCAAATTATTATTTTTTAAAAATCTTTTTTTGAAGGGATTATTATCCAAGAAAAAGAAATCAACCAATCGACTAACAACCTTAGTACCTTTGGAAGAATAAGGCTGCTATCTTCAGGGGGTGGTGGGGTGGGACGGGTGGAGAAGAAGAGTCAAATCCTTTGCGTGACAAAAAGCGATTGATGAGACAGCCCTCTTTGCTAAAAATTATTGTGGGGGTATGGGTTGGGTTATTTGGCTGCTTCTGGGATTACTTTAAATATTGCTCAACCCCAGCTGAGAACAGAATTCCCAAGTGACATTCACAGTGCCAAGATTTACTAGCACCGTAACTGACATGCTCTGACATCAGAAAGCCCACTGGAAATCTCGAGACATTACCTGCTATTCATAAACCAGTCATTCAGTTCTCCTCCTCTCTCCCATCCCTCACCCCTCAAATCGGTCTGATCTCATATCAGTCTGATATAATTTATAAACTCCCACAGCTTTCTGGCTCAGAGGCGAGAGTGCTACCGACTGAGCCAGACTGACACAGATAACAATGATTAAGGCGTTATGTTGCATTTGATATAATGCCTTATCGGGTAGTCTCAAAGCGCTTCACAGGATATATACCGTAAATACAACTGTGTATTTTTGTTAATGCAACGAATAATTATTATTATTGTTTCATTAGGTTGACAATTCGCCCGAACCTCAGGAGCTGATCAAACCAGTCTGTACTGCTGGAGGAAGCAGTTTGGAGACTTCTCCTGTCCTCTCCACCCCTTTGTATTGGCTGTCAGTGACCCTGGGGCTGGCCTATGTTAACCAGAGGGTAAGTGACTGTGTTCTTACTTTGCCTGCAAACCCTGTGTCCCGTGCGGTTGCAGGAGGTACTGATGAGCTGTTTTATCCCTCAGAGCCCCGGTTAGTTTGATTTTCTTTCTTGATCTGTGCAGATTGATGATGTAAATGGTGATGGACCCTCGCGGGTAATTATGGCTGAAAATAAAAGAAAAAACACATAGAGGTAATTCATTGCAAAGGTTGTGAGTCTGATTCCCACATCAAAGTGGAGTGACTGTGTAGTTGTTGGCAAACGTGGCAGCGCAATTGTGCACAACAATGTCCCACAATATATAATTTCCTAACTATAACTAGCTCCCTAACTATATCTAGCTCCCTAACTATAACTAACTTCCTAAACAACCATATATTGTGGGACATTGCTGTGACATTGTGGTGCGGTGCTCAGTGTTTGTGTTTACTGAGTGTGGCTGTCTGTGGGGCACTGCGATTTGCTAATTCGCTGCACATTTCGCCCACAAAATACACGATCGATCAGCATTTTACAGTGTATCCCGTGAAGCGCTTTGAGACCTCTCAAAGATGTGATAAAGTGCAATATCTAATGAAAGGATTATTATTATAATTATGTATTGTGAATCTCTTGGTACTGTACACAACACAGGGCCATTCCCACACAGTAACGTCTCTCTTCACAGTTGCAGGGACGGGTGCAAAGAGGTGGGGAGGGGAAGGTGGAGGGGGAGGTGTCTATAGTCGTGGCCCAAGAGATGGAGCATTTAATAATAATAATTACCTTGCTTACGATGTAGTGCCTTATCACGTCGTTGGGACGTTTCAAAGCGCTTCACAGGATACACCTTAAAGTGTAGTGACTGTATATTTGTGGGCGAAACATGGCAGCCAATTGTGCACAGCAGCGTCCCACAAACAGTCATGGATTGCGTAACCAATCTTTTTTGAGGGATTATTTACCCCAAGAAAAGCGATCTGCCAATCAACAAATAACTAGGTTCCTACTTACTGCTGCGTATACAGAGGCGAGTGGAGTGAGGGAACTTGTGTAAGATTTCGCTGTGCCTGGGAATCAAATCCCGGTTCTCTCGCTTGCGAGGTGAGTTTTCTAACCACCGAGCTACAGGACTCCATGATTGGAAGCTCTCTGTTGGACACTCTGTGGGTGTAGGAATAGCTTTCTGACAGAGCCCACCCAACCCCACTGCCTGGTCGGTGATTATCAGGCAGTTTGAGGATTGGAAAATATTTTCCAGAGTGAGTCACATTCCTCAGCCCAAATACTATCCTTTTCTTGGCAAATTCACCTCCCAATTCTTCACCACCTTTGTTTCTTTTTTAAAATGTGTTTATAAACAATATATATATGTACAGAGAGAGAGATTTGCAGTTTTGCATCTAATGTATGTGAGACATTAAACCCAGGTCCTGGCCACCCTTTCAGTTTGGATGTTAAAGATTGGAAGTTTGTCCTGAAAGGGAATGGTAATAGAATTCTCAATTGTTGAGGACAGACAGAAAGAGGTGCTGCTTTAGGAGGACAGCGGAGGCTCTGGGTGTGGAGATGAAATCTTATGAGGCTCTTATGAGGAGGCAGTGATGGTATTTCAATGATGGTCGTCTGTCTTTGAGGACAGCATTTGAAATGTCAGTCAGTCAGGGATCTCCACAAAGGTGGCCATCCTGTCCACCCAACCCCACCTCACCCCGCCCCGCCCTGCCCTGCCCTGCCAGGCTGCCCTTTGATCACTGCCCTAGTGTGGTTTACATCACATGCCCATGTCAGTCTCTGTGTAACATACACTTTACCCGCGTCTCTGTAGACCTGTGTGTGTGTGTGTGAGCGAGCAGTGAGTGTGTGTATCAGTGTAAATGAATGTGAGTATACGAGAGTGAGTGTGAGTGATGGTGTGAGTGTCGAGTGTGAATATATGAGAGTGAGTGTGAGGCGAATGTGAGCGAGTGCGTTTAATCATGAAGAAACAGTACAAAAGGAAACTTACTTGCGGAAATGTGTACAGTGGGCGTAAATCCGCAGTTTGTCCCTAATGATGCGCCCTGGCCTGGGTTTGCGTTGCAGGCCCGCCACGTGCACAGTCAGAACCTTGGTTCCCACCAATCGCTTGTACAGCAGCGACAGCCAGTAATCCTGTGAGTAACATGGACAAGAGAGGGCCTTAGATTAGATTGGAGTCCTGTAGCGTAGTGGTTAGAGTGCTCGCCTCGCATGCGAGAGGACTTGGGTTTGATTCCCGGGTGTGGCAAGACCTTAGGCAAATCTCCTCACTCCACACTGTTTACTCAGCAGTAAGTAGGAACCTGGTTGTTAGTTGATGGTCGGATTGCTTTCCGGGGGTAATAATCCCTCCAAAAAATGAGCTAAAAAAACACTCAATTCGCAATTAGCTGCCGCGTTTCACCCACAAAACACACAGTCACTACACTTTACAGTTGAGTCTGTGAAGCGCTTTGAGATGTCTCGAAGATGTGATAAGGTGCTGTATCAAATGTAATGGTTACTATTATTAGATTGTAATTGTTGCATTTGATGTAGTATCATCGGGGGGACGTTTCAAAGCGTTTCACAGGCTTTGTGTGTCAGCCCGGCACAGTGGCAGCGCTCTCTCTGGCCTCTGAGTCAGAAGGTTGTGGGCTCCCGCCCCACGTCGGAACAGTCTGAGCCATCGTCGGGCATGTGAATCCGAGGCTTGCTCAGACGGATGTTGAAGATCCCATGGCACTATTTGAAAAGAGAAGGCAGTCTCTTTCTTCCTGGCCAACAATCCTCCAAATAATATTAGTCACTCATGGCTGCTGTGCGCAAAACTGGCTGCTGCGTCTCACCCACAAAATATACAATCAATCCATTTTACAGGAGATGCTGTGAAGTGCTTTGAGATGAAGTGCTTTGGTGTAACATCAATGCAAGGATTATTATTATTATAATTGGAGCATGTGATGCAGCACCTTATCATGGCGGGAGGATATCTCAAAGCACTTCACAGAATTTTACTGTGAATTGTAGTGACTGTGTGTTTTTGCAGGCAAACAGCAAAGATCCCTTTGGCACTATTTGAAAAGAGAAGTGTGTGTGTGTGGTGGTGGGGTGAGGGGGATTGGTTTCTCACTGTTGTCTTGGCCATCAAATCCCACCGCGCCCTCCCACAGATAAATTTTATCTGTCTGTCTGGGCTGCCGCGTTCGCTCACAAACAACACCTTCACTAACTTTACAATGGAGGGAGACAGACGCTGGAAGCAGACAGTGTCGACACAAATAAGACAGATTTCTGTCAAACACAGACAACAGCAGAGAGGATTACATGGATAATCTTTAGTCAATACTTTAGGAAGTTTTCCGACTAGAAACAGCACCTGGCGGGGGCTGCCTTTCGGGTGCGAGCACATGGCTCAGCAGCTCAACCAGTTCTGTCAATGGTTGACAGACACTTTGTGTGATATTGTTATTCCACCTCCAGCAGCTTCATGCTGGAGGAGCTGTTACACGAGCTAGAACAACAACAACAAAATTACATTTCCACAGCGCCTTTCACGTCAGGAGGATGTCCCAAGGTGCTGGACAGACAGGGTTTCGGATCCAAGCTGGGAGTCGGGATTGGGGAGGGTGGAGGGCAAGGGAGGAAGGAGGGTGACCGAAGGCATGTTTGCTTCGGTCTTGTTGATGTTCAACTGTAGAAAGTTATCTCTCATCCAGGACTTGACGTCTGACAGACATTCTGTCAGGACAGCAGTGGGTCCTGGAGTCCAGGGTGGAGGCAGAGAGGGAGAGTTGGGTGCCATCCGCATACATGTGGGAGTTGACCCCATGTCTGTAGATGATGTCATCAAGAGGGAGTATATAGATATTGAAGAGGAGGGGACCAAGGACAGAGCCCTGAGGAACGCCGCATGAGATAACAACAACAACTTGCATTTACATAGCTCACCTCATGCAGAACAGCGTCCCAGAGCTCTACAACGATATCCTGGCGTGAGGTGACGTGTCAGCAATTGAGCTAAGCTGACGAGCTCAGCATTCCCTCCTTCCCCGCTCCCATCCACCCACTCCTAGCTCCTCTTCTTCCACAGACTCTTCCCTGGCCCCACCTCCCCCCACTCCCCCTCCGCCCCTTCTCTACCCAAGCTAAAATCCTAAAAAAACTCCCCAGGTCTCTGTTTAGCTAGTAATAAGTCAGAATCCGGTTGTTAGTCAATTGACGGATCGCTTTCGAGGGTAATAATCAAAAAAAATGTGGTCACTCAATCCACAACTGTTTGTGGCACACCGCTGTGTGCAATTGGCTGCCACATTTTGCCCACAAAATATAGTCAATTCACTTTACAGTACATTCTGTGAAGTGTTTTGAGACGTCTCAACGATGTGCTAAGGCACTATATCAAATGCAAGGATTATTATTATACAGTTGCTAACTTCCCCTCCAACTCTTTACTCTAATTTTCTGTTCTTTCTCAGTGCCGCTTAAATGTTTCTAATTATTTATCCAATTCATCTCGACTTCTCAAGAACTTGCTTGAGAAGTTCTAATTTTATACTCCATCCTGCCAACTCCTTCAGTCACAGTCTAGCGTATGTAACCTGGTGACATCCCCATTTTCCATGCCTTTCACACACTTTGAAATCCTGGATCTCATTTCCTTCTCTGTCTTTTATGAATAACACTCTTGCATTTCATATAGGGTCAAAAAAGCTCACACCTCACAGGCAATAATAATATAATAATAATCCTTGCATTTGATACAGCGCCTTATCACGTCATTGAGGGGAATAGGAGTGTACGCATGTAGAGTACAAACACTGCCATGGACCAAATGTTCGTGTCTTACTACTTTATCTATAATGTGAATGAATGATTTATCTGAGTGATTGTTGGCCAGGACACTGGGAGAAACTCTTGTCTCTTTTCAAACAGTGTCACGGAATTGTTAACATCGTTGAGTTGCATTTGTGTAGGTGAAGAGATTAACGTTTGTGGATACCTGTAGTGCAGTAGTTAGTGCGCTTGCCTCGCAAGCAAGAGGACCTGGGTTCGATTCCCGGGCGGGGCGAAGCCTTGGGCAAGTTTCCTTACACCACATGCCTCTGTTTACTTAGCAGTAAGTAGGAACCTGGTTGTTATTCAATTGGTGGATTGTTTTCCGGAGATAATAACTCCCCCAACAAAAAAAATTGGTTTCTCAATTCACGTCTGCTTGTGGGACGCTGCTGTGCGCAATTGGCTGCTGTGTTTTGCCCACAAAATATACAATCAATTCACTTTACAGTATATTCTGTGAAGAGCTTTGAGACGTCTGAACGATTTGATAAGGTGGATACCAAATGCAAGGATTACTATTACTTATTATTGTTGATATCCACGAGGTCCTAGACTTCGCCTCAAAGATTGAAAACATCCCCTTGGCTGCATCGCTCCCCCCACCTCCCTCCATATCCCCTCCCACCCCACTCAGACCATCCACACCGCTTTCTCCCTCCGTCACAGCTCCTGCCACTCCCCCTCCTTACACTCCTTTGCCCCCATTTCACCCGCCTCCCTCTCAACCACAATTACGGATGAAGTTCACTACCTGCTGCCTCGACCCCCACCCCACCCAGCTGCTGGTCACTCAACTCCCCCTCCTTTCGCACCTACTGGCCGACACAGTCAACCAGTCTCTCTCCTCAGGCTCTGTTCCCCTCCCCCTGAAAACTACTGTTATCACGCCCCCCTCCTCAACAAACCCTCCCTCGATCCCTCTAATCCCTATTCCAACCTGCCTTCCTGGCCAAAGTCCTGGAACACACTGTTTCAGGTCAATTTCAGTCACACCTCTCCCCCCACTCCCACCTCGAGCCCCTGAGTCTGGTTGTTGCGCTGACTGCCCACAGCACAGAGACAGCGCTTGTCAAAGTCTCAAACGACATTCTCTCTATCTGTGACCAGGGCTCCCGCTGCCTCCTCGTCCTCCTGGATCTCTCTGCCACGTTTGACGAGTCGACTATGCCATCCTCCTCCACCGCCTCTCCTCCCTCATCCTCCTTAGTGGCACTCGCATGGTTTGAATCCTACTTAACCAACCACCTCCATTTCATCTCAGCAAATGGTTTCTCCTCCTGTCCCCGCCCGGTCGGCTGTGAGGTACAACAGGGCTCCATCGTTGCACTCTTCTTTTCCTTATCTATATGCTCCCTCTGGACGATCTCATCCGTAGATATGGGGTAAATTTCCACATGTATGCAAATGACACATAAATTTACTTTACCTCCTCCAGCACCAGCTCCAGGTCCCTGATGTTCTATCAGCTTGTCTGGGCAGACATCAGGGCCTGGATGAGTGTAAACTTTCTGCAGCTGAACATGGACAAGATGGAAGCCATACTCCTTGGCTCCTGTCAATGTCTTCACTCCCGCAGATCTAAACTCCTCAACCTCCCTGGGCTCTGCCTCACACTCACAGAACCAGTGCACAATCTAAGCGTCTGGTCTCAATCCCCCCCCCCACATCCTTCCTCCCCCACATCCAGTCTCTGACCAGGATCACCTTCCTCCACCTCTGCCACATTGCCCGACTCCGACTGTACCTTACCCCAACTGCAGCCGAAACCCTTGTGTATGTGTTTGTCACCTCCCGCCTGGATTACTGCAACCCACTCCTCGCCGGTCTCTCCAGCTCCACCATTCACAAGATCAGCTCATTCAGACTCTGCCGCCCACATACTGACCCCAACCAAACTCCAAAAACAACTTATGGTGGTGGCCAAACCCAGAAACTGCGCTAGGTGTGGGACAAGGAATCAAGTATCTAATCCCTGGGGCCACAGGACAAGCCATCCATTTAGCTGAGGGAAATGGAAGGAATTTGGCGTCTGTGTTGACTTTTTAGTTAATGTTATTTCACGGCACAAGTCCAGGCAGCAGGTAGAGCATAGAGACAAGATGCTTTTATTCCAGTTTCCTATGTTGTGGAAACGTGGTCAATACCTTTAGTATGAGGCTGATATGTCATTAATGCTTGTTAGCCTGTCTGTCTAACCTGAAGGTCCCATAAGAAGGTGCCATCCTTTGGATGAGATGTTAAAGCGAGGTCCTGTCTGCTTGTTCAGGTGGACGTTAAAGATGCCTAAGAGAGAAGGGAGTTTCTCTTTCCTAGGA